TAATAATTCAAACAATTTCATGAATTTATTTTTATTTTATAAGATTATTAAAAGCTATTTTATTTATATAGGCTATATGATACATTTACAATATCAGTTTGATAAAACTGTTGTTATAAGAAATAGAGTATTTGCAGTTTTACATCTGCATTTAATACAATTTAACAGTAATGAATTGTAGAATGGATAGTTTATTTAAAATCAGACGTTTCAAATTCAGCATGTTGGCCGATTTTCTGTGCGCAAATAATGTCGCTTGTTTTCTAGATCTGCATTTTTACGGTTTTTAATATTAAAACTGTGTTGTGTCTCTGTCGGATTACAGTAGGCCTATATGTACTGTACAGTCTATGTTATACATTTTTTTGGAAAATAATTAATTAGAATAGGCGAAAACAATGAAGCGGGGATTATGGTTGGCCGATTAAAAAGATCATATTACATAAGCTAGATGCCTAGATAGTATATTCACAGAGATAGCCTATTTAGGAATTCTAAACTTTTTCCTTCCCTAAAGGTCATTCAATAAATAGTTTAAACCTCCTTATGGACTGCCATAATCAGTAAAAGAAATTCATTACAATGTAAAGACGAAGAAGATCAACGGAGAATTTTAAATAAAATATAAAAAGCCTAGCATTTAGCAAACTTAAAAGCCAGACCTCTCTCGGTATCTCGATCGGTGTCGTGAACTTATTACAGTCAATTGTAAAATGATTGTGTATAATCCGTTTAAAGGCAATAAAGAAATATTTTGATAATGTTAGATACCATAAAATATTTAAATATAGTCTGATTAAATATAAAACTCACGCACGTCGGAATTATTTAATAAGGCTTTAGTAGGGGAAAAAAACAAAATCTGTTAACTAATTGTGTGACTTCCATAATGAGACAGAATTTGACTCATTTTGAACTCGCGTGTTATGGGTTATTGAATCAACTAAACATTGTTACAGTAGCATACGCGGCATTTTAAATGTAGGCAATCACCTAATTATACAATAATTAGAAATACTTAAAAACAGACTGTCGCTTACGAAGTGCGTTGTAGAATATCTCGGCAGGCCGACTGTGTGCTTCAGTCATCTGTCTATAGTCCTAACTGCCTCTAACAACCCAGTGACATGGAGGAGAAACGCCCACCTCTCCAGTCGAGCCCCCCATGACATTCTTTATATGTGGGACACTGCGGTTTCTTTTAACAAACGATTTGACGGGAATCATTTTCAAAATATGTTTTTATTAAGACTCTCCTTCTGCGTCGCTTTTGTCCCATGCAGTGAAGGCGCATCAGTTGATGAGTTACCTGCCTGATGTGAATATGAGACGTGAGGCCCCAGTCATGTTGGAATGCGACAGCGCGCTCTAAAATGGAGATAAAAACAAAACGGTACTGAAGCTGAGAAATTTCTGAGCCAGCAGCACCACTTGCTGTGTAGGAGGACTTCTTGCAGCTCTGCTCTCTTCGTGAATTCTCACCACTGGCCCTTTTTTGTTATCAGGGCCTAATAAAGACAATAATGGTATTGCATTCTTAGTTGTATTTATTCAGTTAAAACCCGCTAATATAGGCTACTTGTAGTTTCTGATAGTTTGCATTAGTAGGCCTAAACTTCATTTTCTGTACGTTGTGTTCGACAAATTAACTTCGTGTAAAATACAGTCATTTTGGCTACTTACATTTCACCAGTACAGTAGGCCTAGCCTATTAAAAATCAATAAATGAGCCATTAACCTTTGATAAATAAGATTGTTTATGAAATATCTATGTAATAAGGATGTAATAAGGATGATGTTGCCTATAGATTCAGGGTGCGTGGGCTTTCTGTACACTTTTTTTTTTTAAATAAGAACTTTATCACAAGGTAAGCAACAGTCTGTAATATTAATTCCCAAATAATTCTGATTGATTGACTGTACCATGCATAGTCCCATACACTGTAAAATCCAATAGTTTACCTTACTTAGATTTAGTTAGTTATCTTTACTTAGTTGTTATACTTACTAGGTTTTATTAAGTTACAGTTACTTTCAAAGCAAATAAAACAATTTACTTACTGTTTTGAGTGACACTTACTTAAAATATCCACAAAGGAACCAATGACATTAATAAACCAGTGAGAGGCAGCAGTGCATTAATATGTTGCTAATGTGCAACATAACAACAGAAGAAGAGGAAAAGAAAAAGAGTTTTAATAGACTTTTCACTCATTTCCTCCATGTCTGCAGTTATCTTTCACTAGTTGCATTCACTCGTTTCCCAAAGTCATCTTGAATGTTGAATCCTCAATACAACTGAAATATCTGAGAGAACGTCACATAAGCTAACTTCATAAATAGATGTTGATTTTCCTAAAATGTGTTTATTTTAACTATCACCATTATAGTGATTAGCGTTCCCTTTGGTTGGGCACTTTGAATTTGGTTGGCGTTACTATAATTTATTTCCCGTTTATACAGTAATGCATCATGAAGTCAGAGTTATTTGATTTCAAAGTAAGGAAAGTAATAAATAGGATGCTCTAAGAATGTGCCATTGCTTCTAAATAAAGCATTAGTATATCATTAGTGTGTGTTGATGAACTTCATAAAATTTATTTTATCATAAATACATTGCGATGCTTTCATTTGGATTTATATAATCCTTAAATCGTGTGTGGTAACATGCTGAAGTCACTCACAGACTTAAACATTCAGCACGTGAATCACAACTATGGTAACTATTCAATTTCATTTATTTTCATTACTTGTAACAATAACCGTTGTATTTGCTCTTTTTGTTGTGCTGCTACTGACACAAGACAGCAAATAAAATTGTCAAAAAAAATCAACAACCGTAAAACAAAGCAACTGTATAATTTATTGATACTAAAAACTATGGTAACTATTCAATTTCATTTATTTTCATTACTTGTAACAATAACCGTTGTATTTGCTCTTTTTGTTGTGCTACTACTGACACAAGACAGCAAATAAAATTGTCAAAAAAAAATCAACAACTGTAAAACAAAGCAACTGTATAATTTATTGATATTTCATTACTTGTAACAATAACCGTTGTATTTGCTCTTTTTGTTGTGCTGCTACTGACACAAGACAGCAAATAAAATTGTCAAAAAAAATCAACAACTGTAAAACAAAGCAACTGTATAATTTATTGATACTAAATGAAAGGATCGAGTACCCCTTACAGTTCTTTTTTAGTTACTAGAACTCTCGTGCAAGTAAACTATACTAACTAAGCATCTGTCAGTACAACATACTATTCCTGTTTCACTTTACTTAGTTTTTTTCAAGGCAATCGGTTTGCATGCTTTTTAAGTAAGCCCAACTAATTAGATTTTGCAGTGTATGTTTAGTGGTGCATTTTAATTGTTTTAAACTTTGTAATGAAATTGCATACGTGAAGTTTCATTAGGAGTGCATCCGTTTCATATGCACACAAACTTCAGTCTGCATTATATTAAACAATTATGCAAAGTCCTAATCGTATGTGTAACGTGTAAAATAGACCTATTATTTTTTTTAAATCTCTACGGTTATACGATTTGATAATATTGTCAAAATGCCATGGTTCAACGAGTAGACTAGGCTAGTTACAGCACACAGACTTGAATCAAGTAGGAATCAATCTGCGGTAATCTAGTACAGTAGTTTTGCCACTAGAAGGCGTATTACACCATGAATTATACAATTGTATCATAAAATGTTTCTTGTAGCACGCAAGAATCGATTACCGAACGAATGACTCTTAAGATGGTTCTTTTAGTGGATGAAAAACATACCGAACAAATGACAATATGATAAGGCTCTTTTTATTGAATCAGTCGGAACAGTTACTGAATTAGCCTAATTCGACTTAATAATGAACAAGTTATTACTTTCTTCATGTCTGACTAGTTTACTGTGTTATGCTGTACAGTTTACATTTACATTTAGCAGACGCTTTTATCCAAAGCGACATGAGGACAATAGAAGCAATCAAAACCAACAAAAAAAGCAATAATATGTAAATGCTGAGACAAGTCTCGGTTAGCCTTAACGCAGTACATGTAGCAAAGCTTTTTATAGGCCTATAATAAATAAAAAGAAAACAAGTAGGCTAGAATAGGAAAAGAATAGGCAACGCTAATGTTAGAGGGTTTTTAAAATAAAAATAAAACAAGTCAAAAGAATAGAGAATGCTAGAGGGTCATTTTTTAAATAATAAATACAAAGAAAACAAGTAGATAGAAAAGAAAAAGAGAATGCTAGTGTTAGATGCTTTTTAAAATACAAATAAAACAAGTCAAAAGAATAGAAAAATAATAGGGTCATTTTTATAATAAATACAAAGAAAACAGCTAGTGGGTTAGTGGGTCATTTGTATAACAAATACAAAGAAAACAAGTAGATAGAAAAGAAAAAGAGAATGCTAGTGTTAGAGGCTCTATTTCTTTTGAAAGAAAACAAGTGTTAGAATAGAAATAGAATAGAGAGTGCACGTGTTAGTCTAAAGGACTGCACTTATTCAGCATTTAAAAAAATAATTGAATATATTTTTTATTGTATTATTTGTTCCTGATTTGCTAGGCTATATCTGTTCTATTGACATCTTTGAATTGCCTTTCCCCCCAAATATTTCTTCTTCAAAACTAGAAGAGAAACCTTAAAGAGGAATCGGTTCTAGTTAGAATCGTTAAATTCCTCATGAATTTCTAGACTCGCAAAAGGATGCGAACTGCTTCCTCTTGGCTGCTCTTCTCCACCCTCTTCGGAGTCTGTGTGGTATAATCGGAATGCCAGCGGACGCTTCCATCCAACCCAACTCATTTGAACATAAATATAATATATATCCAACATTAATCGTATTGCGGACGTTTGATATTTTCACCTTCTCTAAACTGTCTAGACAAATTAATTTTGTGATGCTTACAGTAAGTAATACTGTGTAATGTTTTTGTTGGAAATCCCCCTCATCCCCCCTCCACATTCCGCTGTTTGGATCATTCCGTCTGAGGCCTGAGCGAGAGAAGGGAGTGTTTCCCGTCAGACACAGACGTTTTACTAGTCCTAATATTTTCTGTCAGAACTTGAGTAATAATATTTCAGACAGGCCGATTCTACCACCGGGGTCAACACTATTTTGGACCAAGGAATAAGTCCAGTTTTCTCATTCCGGTTGTTATTTTTCTTCTCGTCCGACGACAGCGGGCTAGCCTCATTAGCTAAGTTAGCTCGCTAGCCGGAGTACGGGGAGTTTATAATGCCCACGCTGCGGGACAGCACCATGTCCCACCCCGGAGAAAACCCGCACCAGGTCCGGGTAAAAGCTTACTACAGAGGGTGAGTAGCCAGTGAGACTCTGCGCTGTCCCTTTAGATGTTTCGATACACTTATACTTTTATTTTGACCTCTTAATTGTGTGGTTTCGGGATATACACAAATAAATGATTAGCCAGCTAGTAGGCAGTGTTAGCTAAGCCCAAAACAAAACTCTGATGAAGTTGTCAAGTGAAACCAACTCCAGTGAAACAGCCGTTCCTTCGTTTCTTCCTCTACAGTTGGTTTTTCTTCCCCTCTCATAATAGTTCTCGTAAACTGATTATATGTTTGTGTATTCTTTGTGAGTTAAGATAATTTTGGCTTATGGTGTGATGTTTTCAGAGCTGCGCCTGCCATGGAGCTAGATATGTCAACCTGTCTATTATAACGTTTGCGTTCTCGGTCACATTTAGGTGGTTCTGTATAACAGTATAATTAAGGGAAAACTACAGTCACAGATACCTGTAATGAAATTCATTAAATGATACATGTAAACAGTTTGTTCATGTGTTATGAACACGATATGTTGATCATGATATTATTTATGTAATATTATGACAGATCTATTTCTAAACGAGTATATAATTGAATTGTTAGCAGAATGGGACGTGAACGACCTGTGAATTATTCCTCTTACTGTGTAGGGAACAATTCTTGAGTTGCTATGAAAATATATAACTTTTATGTGCATAAAGGAGCACATTTATGCATAACTGATTTTCAGTCAGATTTCCTTTCATGATGACGCTTGTGCTTGTCATGCACTTGAAAAACTTGTATGACAAGTATCTTTTGCCAGACCTGTTGGAGACTGATCTATTCACACTCAGCATGAGCGCCATTGTATGTGTGCAGCTGTCTTGATGATTCAGTTTCAGTCAGTTGATGATGATAATAATAATAATAATAGTAATAGTAATAGTAGTAGTAGTAGTAGTAATAATAATAATTATAATATATATATATTATCATTATAGAGAATTAACCGGTCCACTGCCATGTTTTTGAAATCTCATTTTCAGTGAAGCTGATTTTGCTTTGGCTTTGAAGAAAAGCTCTGTGGAGAGCGTGAATTGATGGCTCATGCCTTATAAAAATACTGAGTTTGGACAGTTTTGAAACCCACCATTTGTCCCTTTATGTGTGTTCCCTTAGGTTTCTGTTGTTTTTAGCAGGTAATTTTAGCCAATCTTTGAACCAGTTTCAACGCCCTTACTCTATATAAACCTCTGTTGTGGCCATGATGGAGACAATCAGAGGTTGTTCCTTTGGTGTATGGAAGCCTTAATGGCAGGTTTCTGCCTGAATGCAGTAGAGTCTTGAATAGAGTGAAGGACATCTTACTCGCTGCAACTTTTATCTTCTATATGAAATCCCCTGAAGCCTGGCAAAGATGAAATTCACAGCCTTTATCCTCCTCTTTTTTTTCTTTGCCCTCTGTTCTTTTACTTATTGCTCTCTTTCTGTCACTCATCTGTGTTTTTATTTGGCTCTTTCTTATGTGTTGCATGTCTGTAATAAGCATGGCTTTAAGGGGATTTGACCTATATTGCAACTCATATCTGATTTTTTTTTTTTATTGATGTCAAATACAGAAGAGATGTTACTTTATGTCTTTATGTCTCTGCCTGATGTCATGGTCATCTGAGTTAAAAAGATAGTTCACCAAAACTGAAAATGATTGACCTATTCTTAGGTCATTCCAAACCTTTGTGACTTTCTTTTTTCTGTGATAGGGCTGTGCAATATCAGTAAGTGTTATTATTATTTTTCACAAAAATTTTAATCTTGATTATTAATCAGTTGTTCTCAGTTGCAAAATTTATTTTTCAGAATGTCAGAATGTTTTGCATAAATCAAGAGAATGTCCACTCTAGGCATGGGCCGTAGGGATGTAACGATTAACCGCGAGCCGGTTGAAAATCGATTAAAATATGTGACGATTCAAATCGGTTGAGATGCTAAACAAATCGCGAATCATTTAGGGGTAGGAGTTTATATGAGTGTATGTCTGAGGGGAACTTACTGTCTTTAGAAAAGTTTAGATGGTATATTTTCTTTTCATCTTGCCTCTGTATAATGCACATTAAAGTTCATGAGTTCAGCGCTGCATTGTTTACAGCAGAAACCAGGAAACACTTTAAGCGCCACCTGCTTAGAGGGTGAATCTGCGTCGCATTCAGCTCGTCTGCCATTTCATGCAGATATTTTTATGTATGGTTTCACAAAACTGAAGTCAAACCATTCTGTTTTTGCTTCAAATTTCGAAATTATACAATCTAATTTAGTTTAAAAACGGCTCATGTTGCATGTATGCAGCATCTTTGTTTGGATCAAGATTAAAATCCAGTGGTTGCCTCTAACTTTAAAAGGAAAGAGCACAGACAAAGCCTTAGTTTGTTTATATGAAGAGATTTATTTTATTTGTGTTACTTATTTATTTGATTTGGGGCTTGTTTTAAAATTTCATTGTTGTTTTGTTATTTACATTTACATTATATTTAAATTTTGTCATTTAGCAGACACTTTTGTCCAGTGATTTACAAATGAGGACAATAGAAGCAATCAAAACCAACAAAAGAGCAATAAAATGCAAGTGCTAAATTAGTATATTATTATAGTGTTATATTTCAATTTCACAAAGAAATGTGCAGCATTTTGTCCAAGCAATAATAAAAGGACACATTTAGTTTATAATTTGTCTTAAATCAAATTTTGTAAAAAAATTAAATAATAATAATCGTGAATCGAATCGAATCGTGAGTTGAGTGAATCGTTACTAATGGGCCGGCTATGAGATTTTGACGGTATGATAACCTTAAGCAAATATATCACGGTATCACGGTATTGTCGTTACAGCTCTAAAAGTTGTTCTTTTTAAATGACTGGGTAAAAAAAAAATTCCCCGCTGAACACAATATATTTTGTTTTTGAGCAACATACATAATATTAGGAACAGTAGAATTTGTTTATTTTTTCTTTGATTTGTTTCCTAAAAAGAAGAAAAATAAAGACTGACATCTTTATTTAACCTAAAGCTGTAATTAGTTATTTAATTTTAGTTATATAATTCATATACATATCATTTATATAATTTCATATCATTTAGTTATATAATTTCATATACATAATTTGATTTAATAATAACCCAGTTTGAAGCAAAAACAGAATGTTCTGTTCTGACTAGTTTTGTGAAATTATACTACATGCCTGAACGAAACAAACAGCAGAAGCTCTGAATGAGATGCAGATTCACTCTCTGACAGCAGGAGGCGCTTCTGAAACACTGCTTTAATATGAACTATACATAGACGAGATGAAAATTAAATACCATGTAAACTCTTCTGAAGACAGTCAGTTCCCCTCAGAAGCACATTCATATAAACCCCCAAATCAATATTGAGGATTTTCTTCCAATAGTGTTTTTCTCTGTGCGTCCGTCTTCAGCGTCTCTGGCCTCTGTTAACAGGCATTTACAGACTTCATATTTTCACATAAATGACAGTTTGGAAAATGATTTCATTGCAACGCAGTTTGTGCAAGTCCAGAACAGAGATGAGTTGCAATAAGACAACCACACATACTCTGTTTATACTATGGAACGGCAGTACTTCCCACACATGTTACAAGATTATATGTTTGTCAGTGGTACTGAGGATCTGCAAATCATTCGCCATCATCCTCACTCATCTCTCCTTACTCTGTTTATGTTGTAAATGAAATTTTATGTACTGTAATGTAACAGGCAACCGTTACACAGTGTCTACACCAGACGCGACAGTTAAAGTCTGCCTACACTGGACACGACAAAGCAACCGCTGAAAATCACTTGAAATTTGTGTCAGCACGTCATAAATAGAACACGGCAGCAGTTTACTGTCGGGGATTTGTCGTGCCGCTCCGCATCCAGTGTAGACAGCATCGCTGATTATAATAAGTTCTATAGACTGATCTATATATAATGAATCTCTATTATAGGTCAGTGGTTCTATAGTATTTTGTTGCACCGCTTGCGTCCCGTGTAGACACGGTGTTAGGAATCATTATTTGTTTTCCCAATGCAATTGACACATTTCGTTAATTTTCACATTTATCTTTAATTGTAACAGCCATAATAGATTTAGCTTGTGCAGGGGCATTTTTGCCCCCTTTATCTTGAATTTGCAGGGTATGTTTGTTAATTTTGGTGCCAATTTTGTTTCAAGCCCCATTTATTTCGGACCCTGCTTTGTAGTCGTCCATCGCCAAAGGCTGATAGACATCACGATGTTGAGCCGGCATCGTGATCCTCCCCCACCCCCCCCGCAATCCGCCGCATCCCAATACCGTTTTCGGAAAGAAAATGACATGTAGGCGGAACCACTAAAGGGATTAAATATGAGATGGGAGGAAAATATATATTTCAAGATTTTTCCTCGCAGTTATATCATTGGGTAATTATACTACATATATATTTCGGGCATCAGGGAGCCGCTATTATACCTGGCATTGAAACTGGCATCATGCTTTTGAATGCACGATCGCTTTTTAGTTTCACTTTCACTTTCGAGATTCGTAATCGCACATACTCTGTTTGTACTATGGAGCGGCAGTACTTACCACACATACAAGATTATATGTTTGTCAGTGGTATGAGGATCTGCAAATCATTCGCCATCGTCCTTAGTCAAGCTTACTCTGTTTATGTGGTAAGTGAAATTTTATGTACTGTAACAGACAACCGTTACACCGTGTCTACACTGGACACAACAGTTGTTGTGTCGCGCTGCATCAGCTAAAGTCTGTCTACACTGGACACGACAAAGCGACCGTTGAAAATCATTTGAAATTTGTGTCAGCACATCATAAATAGAACGCGGTAGCAGTTTAATGTTGGGGATTTGTCGTGTCGTGCAGAGCCACATCCAGTGTAGACAGCATCACTTATTATAATGTGTTCTATAGACTGATCTATATATAAGGAATCTCTATTATAAATCAGTGGTTCTATAGTATTTTGTCGTGCCGCTCGCATCCGGAAT